CCTGAGTACTTTAAGGAAAAAGCTTTTCTTTCTTTTTTTAAAAAATATATTTTATTGATTTTTCACAGAGAGGAAGGGAGAGATATAGAGAGATAGAAACATCGATGAAAGAGAAACATCGACCAGCTGCCTCTTGCACACCCCTACTGGGGATGTGCCCGCAACCCAGATACATGCCCTTGACCAGAATCGAACCTGGGACCTTTCAGTCCACAGACCGACGCTCTACCACTGAGCCAAACCGGTTTTGGCTTCTTTTTTCTTTTAAGTGACCCAGTGTGAGTACAGAAAACCTTCAGCTCTGTTTTCTTAATCCTTCATGACGCCTGACAAATGGGCCAGCACCCAGCGTGGGTGGGGTGCCATGCTGGTGGGTGTGACATGCTGGTGGGTGTGCCATGTTGGTAGGTTGCCATGCTGGGGGGTGCCATGCTGGTGGGTGTGCCATGCTGGGGGGTGCCATGCTGGTGGGGGTGCCATGCTGGGGGGGTGCCATGCTGGTGGGGGTACCATGCTGGGGGGGTGCCATGCTGGGGGGTGCCATGCTGGGGGGTGCCATGCTGGTGGGGGTGCCATGCTGGGGGGGTGCCATGCTGGTGGGGGTACCATGCTGGGGGGGTGCCATGCTGGGGGGTGCCATGCTGGGGGGTGCCATGCTGGTGGGGGTGCCATGCTGGGAGGGTGTGCCATGTTGGTAGGTGTGCCATGCTGGGGTGTGCCATGCTGGTGGGGGTGCCATGCTGGGGGGGCGCCATGCTGGGGGGGTGCAATGCTGGGGGGGTGCCATGCTGGTGGGTGTGCCATGCTGGGGTGTGCCATGCTGGTGGGGGTGCCATGCTGGGGGGTGCCATGCTGGGGGGGGTGCCATGCTGGGGGGTGCCATGCTGGTGGGGGTACCATGCTGGGGGGGTGCCATGCTGGTGGGTGTGCCATGCTGGGGGGTGCCATGCTGGTGGGTGTGCCATGCTGGGGGGTGCCATGCTGGTGGGGGTGCCATGCTGGGGGGGTGCCATGCTGGTGGGTGTGACATGCTGGTGGGGGTGCCATGCTGGTGGGGGTACCATGCTGGGGGGGTGCCATGCTGGGGGGGTGCCATGCTAGTGAAGAATACTAACTTCCATCTTATACAGAAAACTGCTGTTTAAAATTCTCTGCTATTCTTAGATAATCCCTTGTTTGGTAAACTCTGTCACTGTAAACTCTGTCACTTTAAGACAGTCTGTTATTCTGTAAAATGACTTTGTTTTTTATAGTTCAATAATAGAAAAAGATAGATTTAACTGTCTGACCTTGCTTGCAAGCTAGCCGTCCAATGTAATAGACTAATACTGATAATAATTATGCCAAGTACAAACTCAGTATGTATTAAAGGTTACACTGTCTGTAACCATAACTCACACCAGGCCCTTTGTAATAGCTGCCAACAAAGAGGCTCGAAGCGTATAAATACTGACAAACTTCCTGTGTGGAGGCTCAGAGATTTGGAAAGAGACACCTCCCTCTGGGCTGTGTGCAATGAAAAACTCCTAATCAATTGGCTCATTAAGGCGTCTTGTATCTCAGTCACTGACTGACACAACACCAGAGAGAAAAGCAGCTTCCTCTGTAAAACGGGGCCGGGAAGGAGGCAGAGACAAGGCTGAGACGTAAGGCTCATAAGAATCTGGTTTGTGAAGTTTAGTTTCTTAGATGGACTCAGTCCTTCCGGAGCCTCAACTGTTATGTCCCAGGCCCGAGACACACCCCTCAGAGGAGAGGGCTGTCCAGTGGTTATGGACAACCACTTGGTGTAAAGAACTTAATTTCCATATGAACTGGCTCTGGTAGCATTGGTGACGCTGTGTCCCGAGTTGCAGCCGCTATAATTGTGAATATTAACTGAGATAGTGAAACATGGTGTCCAGTTTCCTATTGCATTTTTTTCAAGTGGAGAAGTTAACTACAATAAATAGTTGACACCACAAATTGGTGGAGAAATTGTGCATATGCCAATTTGTTGTTAAAATCTTTTTCTTTGAACTATACTGCTTTGCGATCTCATTTCAGAAGAACGGCATGAACAGTCTTCAGCCGCAGTTGTGATGGTTGCACATGCTCACAACTGCCCATTCTCAGGGTTTATCCACCCCTGGGGTTTGCAAGTTATTCTCGTAAAAATTCTTAAAATGGTTGGCTTCTTGTTTGCAAGCCAGCTGATAGGGTAGCAACCAAAGATTCCAGGGTTTGAGCCTCTGAAAGACTGCCTGCTCACCTGTGCGAGGAATAACAGCATCTAAAGTGAAGACTTAAGAAAAACTCAGTGACTACTAGGGGTCTAGTAATAATTAATGTCGTTTTTAAACATTCGTTTAAAATCTTGCTTGGCGTTGACTTGTATTGACATAACCTTCAAACACGTGGTATCTACAGAACATGTGAAGTGCAATGAACAAGTTTTGCTTGAAAAAGTTTGTGTTTGGTTTGGTTTTTGTTGCAAAACTAGGGCGAAGAAGATGGCGGATGAAGAGCATATTCGGCACTGCATGCTTTACGAGTTCCAATTAGGAAGAAAAGCAAGTGAGGCTGCAACAAACATCTGTAGTGCTCTTGGTCAAGATGCAGTTAGCGCCAGAAAATGCCAGCGTTGGTTTGAGAAATTTCGCGAGGGAAATTTTTCATTAGATGACAAGAGTGGTCGAGGCCGTGTGTCCAATTTTGATCAAGAAGTTCTTCAAGCTCTTTTGGTGCAAAATCCTCAAATTACCAAACAAGAGCTTGCGACAACTTTAAATTGTTCACAAAAAACAATTTCCAATCAATTGCGTGCACTTGGCAAAGTCCAAAAGTTTGGAAAATGGGTTCCTCATGAGTTGACCGACAACAACCGTAATCAAAGAGTCACAATTTGCAGTTCGCTCCTCTCTCGTCAAAACCGTTTGCCGTTTTTAGAGCAAATTGTTACCGGAGATGAAGAATGGGTGCTGTATGTTAATTTGAAAAGGCGGCCTCAATGGTTGGACAAAAATGAGGCTCCGCAGCCCACGCCAAAACCTGACTTGCATGTGAAAAAAGTGATGTTGTGTGTTTGATGGAATTTTAAAGGAATTCTTCATTATGAACTTTTACCATCTACCCAAACCATTACAAGTGCAGTGTATAGTGCCCAATTGGAAAGGTTAGCCCAAGCTTTAAGAGAAAAAGAACCCGCGCTGATTAAACGGAAGGGCGTAATTCTTCACCACGATAACGCACGACCGCATACTGCAAGAATCACTGCTGAAAAACTGCGCCAGTTGGAATGGGAAGTTCTCCCTCAACCTGCATATTCTCCTGATATTGCCCCTTCCGATTACCATTTGTTTTGTTGTTTGCAAAACTTTCTTCTTGGAAAAAAATTTAATAATGAAGAATGCCTCAAAAATGCATTGACCGAATTTTTTGCATCAAAATCACAAGAATTTTACAACAGAGGGATTAAAATGCTTCCTGAGCGTTGGGCACAAGTAGTAGAAAACAACAGCAACTATATTGTTGATTAAATTTTGTTGTATTGTTTAAATAAATTCGATTTAAAAAAGTATTAGAAAACGACATTAATTATTACTAGACCTAATAGATAATCCTCAGGACTCTGCATTGGCTCCATAATGTTCTTGGTATTAAAAAAAAGCACATTTGTCACAGAAACTTAGTAAACATCTTAAAACTTAATATATATGTATGTTGCTTAGATAAATGTAATCACTGTAAACATCTACAATATATGATCTGGGATTTTGTTTTTATTTTGAAATGGGAGCATTTTGTTTATAAGTTCATTAAAAACTAAAAACTATTTCTTTAAGGAAATGAGGGATTTTTTTTAAACAACAAAGAATGCCTTCCTGAGTCCCTATGAAATTTTTTTAGTAGACTACTTCAAGCCACTTGTTACACAAAACCCCTTTGCAAATCATTTTAGGTTTAGTGTTAAAACTCTTACTCACATTAAACTGTTTTGGTCTGGAGGAGAAAGGTATTATTTTTTCTTTTTTCTTTTTTTTCCTTTTTAAATGACTTGCAGGCACAAATACCTAGTGCCTGCTAGGACTTGATTATTATAACTCCAGCGCCTTAGACAAACAGCGGGACTGATTTTGAATAAATGAAAGCGTTAAAGGGTTTAACTGCAGAATAAAGCTTTTCTTTAAATTTTTTGTTAATTGGCTCTGAGCGGATTGATTCTTAACTTTGGAGAACATCACACCACGTGAGATTGATGTGATCACTGACCCCCCCTAACCCACTTCCCTCAATCTTATCTGCCGCTATTCTTTTTCTGACCAAGAGAAAGATCTGTTGACATTTTTAAACTGTAATTTATTCATTTAGACTCACAGGCGTCCTCAAACTTTTTAAAGTGGGGGCCAGATCACGGTCCCTCAGAGAGCTGGAGGGCCGGACTATATGAACTACTAATTCCTACTGTAACACCTCGGCTGCGCTCACTGCCCAAAAAACCTGGCGGGCCGGATCAGACTCCTCTGCGGGCCGCATGTGGCCCGAGGGCCGTAGTTTGAAGACCCCTGATAGAGCATGTCAGAATAAATTTAAAAGTACTTTCACCTGAAAATGCTCTCAGGAGCTTATTGTGTAAAAAAAGTAGGTGTTTGAAGGGAGGGAAGGAGAGTGGGAAGAGATACAGAGAGAAACATTGAGGTGAGAGAGACACAATGGTTGGTTGCCTCCCCCATGCGCTCTGACGGGGCCCGGGAGCGAACCTGGGACCCACACACGTGCCCTTGACCAGTGATCGAACCTGAGACCCTTTGGTTAATGTGCTGACACTCTGACCCTGAGACCACAGCCAGGGCCGATGCCAGAATTCTCTGCTGGGAAAGAAATGGACGTTTTACACGTGCGGAAGCCCTGCTGTGCTTATCCGTGATGCCGTTCACCCACGCACACCAGCGGGTGGGACCGTTCCGGCTGCAGAGCATCACCCTCTCCGAGGAGGACAGGCCACGCACGCGCTTGCTTACCAGCTGCTGGCCTTTGGGGCCCCAGCCTGCGTACTGCAGCTTCGCGTCGCTCACCTCCGGGGGGTCCAGACGCTGAGGGTCCCTGGAAAACAGGACAAAGAGAGCAAAGTGGTGGGACCGAGAGTCAAGAGCTGTAATTTTTCCTGCCCCCGAGCCTCCCTCCTTCCCTCCCTCCCGGTGTCACGTTCTGCTCGGGACGGGCCGGGTTCCTCAGGGGCGGAGCGGACTCAGGTCCTCATGCTGAACCCAAATAGGAAACCTTCCCCCAGGGGAGCCTGCGGAGGAGTCTCTGAACCAATTGTTAAAAATATTCAGGACCATCAAAATTAAACATTGAAATGCCCAGCTGTGCGGCAATAAACCCCCCTGGTTTAAAGCTCCACCTCCGATTTCCTCACAGACAGTTATGTTTTCCTAAGCACAGTGCCAGGCCCTCGGCCTTTCCAACACGGGTGGCCTCAAGGCCAGGTTCCATCTGTGGTTTGCGTTGAACCAAAAGGGAGAGAGAGAAGGGGAGGTTGAGAGAGATTGAGAAAGACAGAGAGAGACTGAGATGGAGAGGTTGAAGGAGTGTGAGAGGAAAAGATTGAAAGAGACACAGAGAGAGATTGAAAGAAGAGAAACATTTTTTCCTTTCAAACATCACCTGCATTTTTCCATTCTTAATTGATTATATGCAGACTACCACACCAACAAAATACTGCCTGTGCACTTGAAGGCCATAATGGATAAAAATCTTAACAGAAAACGGAAAAGCCCCGGCACTTTGCCAGGAGTTAAACGGTTCAGGACGAGAGCAACGGCGCTGGCCGCAACGTGCAGAAGAGGAGGCCACCTCTTTCCGGTGACGCTGCTCCCGGAGACTCTGTCCGCGGAGTAGGCGCCCGTCATGGAGCACCGCCTGGGGGCCGCAGAAGACGAAGTTGTGAGTGTGCTCCTTCCTCTCCAGAGAGACTGCGGTGGCAGGGTGGTTGGGAAAGGAAGATGCTGAATTTAAAGGGGTTGTCTGAACCCAGGAGACAGGCATGAAGGGAAAGGAGGCGAAGTGGTACGGGTGAGGGCTTGGATCAGTAGAAAATTCTAAAAGCAAGTGCTTAACAGTCTGCCAGGACATGGAATACATTTCTGAGTCAAAAATGCGGTCCGCCCCGCCCCGCCCCGCCCCGCCCCGCCCCGCCCCGCGGCTCCAGGTGAGGCCCTGGGCTGCAGAAGCCAGTGAGGGAGACAGTGACAGAGCGGCTGCGCCCAGCTGTTAGCGGAGCAGTGAGGAGGGGAGGTCTGAATGCTATAGGTTCCCAGTGAACCTTCGCAAACCTACCACTTGTGTGATTTTAGGGTTTTGAAATATTTTCATGAACAAGGGTGACTTCCTCACTGATTTTGTATGGGAAAGGTTCTCTAAGGATATTCAAAATTCAGAAGCAATAAAATAAAAGAGTGATTCGAGGACATAAATAATTTTGAAAAATTGTTGACAAAACATCACAAAAGACAACCGAGGAAGTGGGAGAAAATATTCATAACACACTACAGACACATGCTGAGCTCCATCGGACAAAGAACCCTAAAATTAAGGTTGCACAAGAGGATAGAAATGTGAGAAAAAGACATGAGCAGACGAGTGTCTGAGAAGATATTAAAATGGTCCTCGAACACATGAAAAGTACTGAACAAACAAGGTCAGAGAAATGCAAAGTGAAACATACTGAGTTATCCTTCCCGATAGAACTTGTCCCGAACAAGGAAGCAAGGAAACTGTGGCCTGTCGTGCTGGCGAGGCTGCGGTGCCTGCTGTGCAACCCCCCTGAGCTATGGACCCAGTTCACTTCCTGGAAGACCCACCCCAACGACACAGACACACCGCCAGCTGTGTGCACTGCAGCTCTGCAGTTGCAACATCTGGGGAGCAGCGCACGGATGAGTAAGTGTGACACGTCCTACAGGCATGACCGCCGTCCCGAAATGGGAAGGTCTCCGTCTCCGACAGGAGTGGCTCCCATGACTGAGCTACGCAGAGCCCAGCAGGGGCCCAGCAGGTGTGATCGGCATCTAGAAAGGGGCACGGGGAAGTGGGCGTGGGCTCCTCATCTGCCCAGAACAGAGAGGCAGGAGCGGAAGACAGACACCAGCGGCGGGTTACGTGTAGGGTGAGTGGGAAAGGGGCTGGGGCGAGGGCCTGTTTCTCTGGGTGTGTCTGTCTGGTGTAACCCCTGGCCTCACACTATAACAGGGTTTGCATTCCTTTACACCCCCACACCCCAAGTAAGACCAGTGATGGAAAACAAGCGGATGTGGGGAAACTCTGACCGCAGGACAGACCGCAAGTCAAAGGAAGTTCCGTCCTGCACGGAGGGCGGGAGAGAGGAACCACGGCAAGGACTCTGGAGGCGGCGCCTCACAAAAGCTGCGCGGGGCAGGCAGGAGCTGCTGTCTGGGGGTGTCTCCCAGGGCTGAGCCAGCGACCCTGAGGGACTCCCGGTGGGGCGGGCACCGGAACAAACTAATGTGCAAATAAGGAATACGCTGCAGAGATGAGGGCCAGGTTCCCTGCAGGCGCATAGTTATGAGGAAGGGGAGAGCGAGAGTGAGCCCCAGGGAGCTTTATCTGCTGACCTGGGGCCCAGCTTTCACAGTGCTTCTTGGGGGCACGCGCTTCCCGCAGAGAGGAAGCCCTGGGCACTGCCTTGGCTGGGGGGCCGGTGGCACTGCTCTCAGCCCTGAGCCCAAGACCTGGTTCATGGCCATTCAATGGACTGAAATTCTCAGGAGTGTGCTCAGGAGTGTATGAGAGAGAGACAGGGAGAGATGGAGAGATGAAGAATGAGTGTGAAAGCATGCATTCATTTATTTTGGTGTTGGTTCCTGCTCTCAACCCATCTTTCTGTCTTTCTTTTTATTTACTCATTTGTTTTAAAGAATCCATGCCAAGCTCCATATGAATCATGTCAGGGAAGAGATGGGCTGGTAAAAAATGATTAAGGACAAATACAATGATCTGGATTTAATTCCGTCTCAAAGTAATCACACAGTCCATTCTGACTGCGTATTTGAGCAATAAGCAAGCAGCATACATCATGCTGACTCTTGCAGAGTAAGTTAGTGTGGAAGTTGACTCATTTCTCTTCCTAAACTGAGCCAAGGTGCTGAAAAGCTTCCCAACAGAAACAGTCTTTGGAAAAAGAAAAGTCAAGAATTGCTTTCCTGGCTCCTAAACTTTCAGGCTAAAACATTTGAAAAATGAGCATTTTCAATGTCAAATAATACGTGTTTTCGTAATCTTCCTCATGATGGATAATATAAAAACATAAAAGACCTCACAGTCTTAGCAGCATATCCCACATATTGTAGATGCTCATACAGATGAACTGAACATGAATACAGTGGAACCTCGGTTCTCAGACAAGACTCATTCTGGAAGGCTGTTCGAATCATGTTTCCTTTAGAAATAATGTAAATGGAATCAGTGCCTTGCAGAACCCTGAGTGAGTCCCTGTTTTAATGTCTCTCCTATACAACACATGTCTAATGTACAGTTTAATCTATAAACAAACACCTTAAAAACAAAAAGGACATGATATGTAAACGAGGATTTGACAAAAAGAAAATGAAATGCACAGTAAAAAAAGAAAATTTAATAATAACAAGCAGAAAAAGGCAAAAAACAAGAAAATATTCGAAGCACAATTTCCTGAGATGTTAGCAACGTGAGAGGTTTAGCAGTAAACTCACATTGAGCGTTCTCTCCTTTGTTTGTCGCTGAGAGACGCGTGACAGTCACACAGGGTCAGCATGAAAGGTTGTCGGGTTGAGAAGCGAATTGTTTGAGATGGAGACATTAAGGGCCAAGGTTCTGCTGTAGATGGATGGATGGATGGATGGGTGGATGGATGGATGGATGGGTGGATGGATGGATATATGGGACCCAGTTTAGTCAGCAATGAACGGTTGGTTAGGTCAGTACAACCTTAAATTTCACATAACATTGAAAGATTTATATTATTATTTTAATATACTGTATATCTTAAATTGCACACATAATCTTTAAAAACAAACAAACCGTTTTTACTTATTTCAGAGAGAGGAAGGGGGAAGGAGAGAAAGATAGAAACATCAGTGATGAGAGAGAATTATTGATTGGCTGCTTCCTGCACAACCCCTACTGGGGACGGAGCCCACAACCCAGGCATGTGCCCTGACCTCCTGGTCCATAGGTCGCTGCTCAACCACTGAGCCACACCAGTCGGGCATATTACGGAGGTTTAAACGAGGAGATGAATGTAACAGCCCAGCCAGCACCTGGGCCCTGGCTCTGATGTCACTACTGCTGATGCTGCCAGGGCCAGGGCGGGAGAAGAGCCAGCTGTACAATTCATTGCTCATGTTTTCTCCAAGATTAGGTGGTCTGTTGTCCAAAGCACCTTGATTCAGAAACCAGGCCATCTGCAGTAGGATGGCGAGGGAGGCAGTCCCTGGCTGTGCCCGCAGGGCCCGAGCTGGGGCCTGGAGGCGTCTCCTGCACTTGGATGAGTGCCTTTGTTTACTTCCTGTCCGTCACCTGACACCGCGGATTCATCAGCCTGAAGACTCCCCTGGGCCGGAGCTTCTTCCTGGTGGAGAGGAGAGCGTGGTGCCAGCCACCCGCCCGGGGGAGGAGGATCGGGAACAGGCCTGGGGCCCTCGGCCGCGTGTCTCACCGTCCCACGGAGGAGGCAGCGTGTCCACGGCCTGTTCTCTCCAGAGCTTGCGAATGAGACGTCTGTTGGGTGTGGATTTCTCTCAAGAGCTTGGTAGCTCGGTTAAGTCTTAGAATGAGTTGAGCTTCTTAACTAACAATGTCTCCTCAAGTTTGCGACGTTCGGCAATAAGCGGAACCACGGGCAGTGCTGACGTTTCAGCGGAGAAACACCGAGTGAAAGGAGGTGCTCGACCCGGGGGGCGGCTCCCTTCAATGACCCGTGTCACCAAATGCTCACGGTCCCAGGCCCCCCTGCTGTCACTTGCCAGTGTCATTACCGACGGGGCAGTCACGTTTCTGGGTCCTGTCCGGCTACACGTGCTTAAACCACTTGGTTTTCTGTCTCA